CAGAGCGAATTTGAAGTAGGATGTTCTCAGTGGTAATATTTCAACAGGGATTTCCATGGTAACAAAAGGGAAAAAGTAAGGATAAAAATGATAGTTATATTCGAGGTAAACATCTAGCTGGTCATCTATCGATGCCAGTGCGTCGTGAGGGACAAATGAGGAATCTTCCCATCCCTCCCTCCCCCGTGCGTTCTCGTGCATTAGGCACCAATTTCTTTCAGAACAGGAGTCACGTGTCACAAGCGAGCTTTGTGTCTTTTTTGTGTGTTTAAGATCAAACCTCGGCGTAAAGAAGCTAATTTTCCTTTTCCTTTTTTTTTTACTTATTGCACGCTTTCTTTGGTCGTACCACGCGATTGTCTTACATGTGAGTCCTAATTTTATGGAAGTTTCGACGCGAGATGTGATTCAGGGTTGTGATGAAATTAAAGTTACAACAGTTCAGTTTAGCAAAGTGTCATGGTCTTCTGGAAGAGATCTTTACTCCCAGTTACAAGAACTGTGAAAAAGAAGTCTAAATACTTGTTATTTCTTGTGTGGTGTTGATGTTTTTTTTATTCATCACCGAATCCAAGGACAGATTAGCACTCAGAGAGAACGTTCTTTTTCTTTCTTTATTAACCTGTCTGTTTACAGTGATAAATACAATCAAAGCCTCTTGTTTAGTTACTGTACTGGCTCTGCTGTTTGAAAGTTAGGTATTTCCTTCAAGTGCAAATCTGTTAGAAACAAAAAGGATTCAATTTACGGAAGCGTTCTCAAGTACTATTACATCATTACCCACATATTGAATCACTTGTCTTTTAAAAGATGAAAAGTCCGAAATTCTTCCTCCACCGTTTAAACAACAGAGCGCACTTTCCATCGGCTTACCGACGTAAAACGTTTGTAAGTCATGATCACGAGCCGAAGAGGAATGGTTTACAAACTTATCTCGTCTTCTCCCACCATCCCAACATATTTCTCAACACCAATCTTCAATGCGACCACTGAAGTAAACATATCATCTCTCAAGAGAGCATCAAGCTTGAAGAACTAGTACGAGGACTCAGTCAATATGACCGATCCTGTGTTGCAAATTTGACCCACGTGACAAATCATAAGCCGTCTATTGGGTTATTCAAATATTGAAGTATCACTTCAGGTAAATGCAACATTACATCTCAAAGGCTGTGTTACATCTCGAGTCTTAAGAGGGTACTCTTTGAAATAAGGAATGCATGGAGAAGATATTAAATAGGCATTAAATTGTCTTGGTTCTCTCTACAGGGCATACCTGTGAATGAACGTCTGTGGGATCAGGCATCTAGTGCGAAAGAAACTCTCGCCTTCTGCCCGTTTTTTTAGTTGGAAAACACAAATAAACGTGCCCAGAAAGACATCGACGACCTGATCGTTTGTATCCACCCAGAAATCGTCCTTTATCGGTAGATGATGCCTCTGCCGAGCGTGTTTCGAGTTTGGAGACAAGTGGCGCACTTGGAATTGCATCTTGAAACTTTTTGACCGATGTCATCTCCGTCCTGACATTCTAGGCATAATAGATACTTCGACGAATGAATTAAAAAAACAGCAAAGCATTGCAAAAACACAAGATAAACACGCTCGAAAACCAATCATTAAAAAATGAAAAACAAAAACGAAAATAAACAAGGAATAAAAAAAAATGCAAGTACTCGAGTCCATGGTAATTTCTTGTGCCTGATGTTTTTTGAGCACTAGAACCTTAAGAAAATTGGCCAATTTCCCATCCCGACTGTATGTAATTTGGTCATGAACAACGTGAGCTGCATATTTGAAAAAATGAACATCAAAGAAAACAGGTAAAAAAGGATTTTGCCAATATATCGCACGTATTTGGCATCATAAATTGAGTTGATAACATAAATTGGCCACCGTAAAGAGTTTCAAAGCTGACGTTTCGAGTGTTAGCCCTTCATCAGTCGCTCTGACCAAGGGCTAACGCTCGAAACCTTAGCTTTGAAACCCTTTACGGTGGCTAATTTACGTTATCAACTCAGTTGATAAAACCAAATTACCTTGTTATACTCTCCCGCCGACTCAGCACCACAGTTTCTT